AAGAATTCTGACATTTTGTTTCTATTTATTTCCCCCCCCCTTTCCCTAAAGCACTAGGGCAAGGGGCAAACATGCAATTACCTCCCTCCACCGAGAGAGGTAACCTCCCTTCACCGAGAGAGGTAACCTCCCTTCACCAAGAGACGTGCATCGGTATGCTTGCTGGGGTCCCTTTTTTTTTCTTTTTTCTTTTTTCAAGAGCCCTTTGCAAGGCCACTATCCTGGCAGTGGTAAGAGAACCACCGGAATTGAGGCCTTGGCTGTTGGGCTGCTCCGTCTATTGGTGGGGATCGACACCTGCTGGAAACCGGGTCCATGTTGAGGCTATAGTCATTATTCTCTTCTACTGCAAGCGTGGTGGTACGAGAACCACTAGGATTGAGGTCTTGCCTGTGGGGTTGTTCCATCTATTGGTTGGGGGAGCTTCACCTACTGGAAATCGGGTCCAGCTTCCCATTGGATAGTACACTCATTACACAGCAATGTAGCCTTAGGGTGAAAGATGAAATAATTTGAGAGAAGAATATTATAGACTTTATAGTGTAGTTTCTCTAAAAGCGAGATACGCGACTCTATCATTCTTAAAGGTTTGTGTATTTGATCAGGCCGTCTACCCGACACCGGACGTTCCAGTTTTGTCCTGGGACTTCTCAATCCATCCTTGCCCTGAATCCTCGTCCATGGGCCCCAAGGGGTATGGTGCTGTGCAGTGGTCGAGAGGTTGCCCATCACAGGGTCACACAAAGACCAACTGCTGCGGTGGGAGGCCTGAAGCAGGCACCCTCAGGCTGGCTATTAGCAAGCGAGTGACACTGTGCACTGTTTCCCTAGCCACATGGTACGTATCGCGTGTAGGCCCCTGGATATCTCTACACCTCTCTTCAAGGATTGCAGCAGGAGACTACCAACTAGAGGGGCGGCAACTTCATCCAATTCTGATCCTTTTCTCAGGTCGTTGCACATGCCTAAATGACATGCGTTTCCGTGTGATTAGACATACAATGCGTACAGTGCATATTTATAGTGCATTGAATACATATAACTTTTTAGTAGCGTAAGACAGGCTGCCTCCTAGCAAGACCATGCCCCTGTCACCTCATGCGTAAGGCTGGTGGAATGTTGCCTCCGGCTGTTCGGGGGGTCTAGTCCCCAACTCAGTGTCTATTTTTTTCTGACTTTGAAACCCTGAGCTGTCCTTCCCCTACACAATGGCAGGTCCTGGACAGCATCGGCACGTGATCATTTTTCTTTTACCAAAACTAGAACAACAATCTGAAAAAATGTACTATGCAGTATTCAAGGGACAATACATGGTATCAATTGAGGACTGTCACAATGCATGGTATCAATGGAGGACTGTCACAATGCATGGTATCAATTGAGGACAATGCATGTCAATTGAGGACTGTCATAATGCATGGTATCAATTGAGGAATGTCACAATGCATGGTATAACTTGAGGACAATGCATGGTATCAAATTGAGGACAATGGATGGTATCAATTGAGGACACTGCATGGTATAAATGGAGGACAATGCATGGTATCAATTGAGGACCATGCATGGTATCAATTGAGGACAATGCAAAGGACTCTAGCATTAGGTCTTGTGCATAGAAACTCGCACGGCTGTCCCCAATAGGCAATGGTGGATGGTGTCGGTCTTTTTTTTCTTTTCTTTTTACCTCACATATCTTTTAACTGGCGTTCTGCCATGTCATGGAACATATCTTTCTTTTCACTACCTACCACTACTCCTAAGGCTATACAGGGGACCCCTCCAAGCATAGCTTTCTACCTCTTTTCGGTGAAGGGAGGTTACCTCTCTCCATGGAGAGGGGTAATGGCATGTTTGCCCCTTTGCCCTAGCGTTTAGGGTGCAGGGTTGGGGCCGTCGGTGGGGGCCCGGCTAACACAAGGACCGAGCATTTGCCAGTATCTGTGCCTCCGTGAACAGGCATCAGCTTTGAAAAGGAAAAAAAAATAAAAATAAAAAAATAAGCGTTATAGACAAGGCAGCGAGCTTTGCCACTACACTGCCACATCATGCAGTGTCATGTCAACGGCGGGGATGAGCGAATCTGATGATGAATGCCTGCCAGCCGTGGCATAGATGGCGAAGTCCCACTAGCAAAGAGGATTGGATTGAACACCTGAATCTGGACTTGTTTGTGGAACGGTAAAGAATGTCGAGATTGAACTGCTTTTCTGGATCTCTGCTTAAAACACGCCCAGATTCAGGATATTTATCCAATCCTCTTTGCTGGTTGGACCTCGCCCCAGAAGAGGTCAGAATTGCACCGCATGGCAAGATCAAGAAGTTGCACAGGGAACAAGATACTTTTTTTTTTTTTCCTAATTATTATTTAGAAAACAACCCATTGGCAAGCGGACGATAGGAGTGCTGATATGAGCAGACACGTCTATCACCGCTGGAGGTGGTGCAGAGGGAACAAGATACATAACGGTCCTGAACATTGATAATATGTACAAGGGACGGGAGGGGGGGAGAGGGGGGGGAGGGGGGTTGAGGTGGGGGCGAGGGGGATCATGGGAGGAAGGGGAAGAGTGAATGAGTGTATAGTCTATAAATGGGGGGCTGGAAGACCCTTGGAAAGGATGGAGGGGGCCAGAAGTATGAGGTAGACCCTTTTAAGCTTTCCCAGGATAGTCAGGACAGTTTTTTGGGACTGTCCACTGGCAGTCTGTCAAGACTTTTTCCACCCCACCCCACCCCTCCTCTCCCTTTTCCCTTTTTTAAGAAGATAACCCCCAGGAATAGGTAATGCAGTGGCAACAGGAAATGGTGAGTGTGAAACGCCCCTCAGACCAGATGGGGGAGACATGGGCACGTGGGGGGCAACGGCGGAGAGGGGAGGGCAAGGGCGAGCACAGTTCAAACATCATAGCTAAATTCAGAGACAACTGAGCATGCCATGAGGTAGTTAATATTTCATATCATCCTTTATGGCCTTCTCCGGTGAAGGGGCCCTTATGTGGCTCTAAAATTTCGTACATGCTATGACCTCTATACCCCAGTTAGTTTTTTTTTAGTTTTTTTTTTTTTGAAAGAGCCCCTTGGTAAGCCCTCTATCTCAGCGGTGGTGAGAGAACCGCCAGGATTGAGGGTTTATCTGTCGGGCTGCTCCATCTATTGGTGGGGAGTGGCACCTGCTGGAAACCGGGCCCAGCGTCCCATTGAACATCTTGTGGCACGTAAGTTTGCAGTTTGTTTTCCTAGGGCTGTGGTCATTTCTGTTCTCAAGCCAGGGCTCGAGGTGCAACTCTCTCCCATCCCCGGTTGGAGCACCCTTCTTTTAATACCCCCAGCCCTGTTGTGCAGCCCCCCTGTTTGTTGATTCGACGTGTTGTCCCTTTTTAAACCCTTTTAAACCCTAAACCCTCCCTGAACCCATGCACTCACCCCACTCAATCCCTTCCTGTTTCAACCCTTTTAAACTCTTCCAACCCTAGACACTCCCTAAACCTCTGCACTCACCACACTCGATCCCCCAACCCTAGAGTCATTCACTGAGATGTACTCCTAATCAATGCAATGGAGCATAATAATGGGGAAGATCAGCCTGATGGTGAAGGTTTATGTCCAGTTGTCCATAGAGCAGAACCTGCATCCCGTTTCCCAAGCCTCCGGATGATAAGATGCAGAGCGATATTCTTGGTTTGGAGAGCTGGAGAGGCTGACCGTATGTGCTTGTCCTTGTATTCCCTTGGGATGCCGAGCTTCCTTTCCTCAGTGGGAGGGGGGAGATAGACCGGCTCCGGACGAGGAAGGGAGAAGAGACGAGGAGGAGGGGGGGGGAAG